AAGAAAAAGTAAAAATAAAAATACAGACTGATGTTTATACACTACAACATTGTTCTTCATATATTCTTGAGAAAATCTTAACTTTTTTTTAATCAATTTGGTTTTAAAGGTTTTTTTTTTGTTGTTGAGGAGATATTCAAAAATCGTTTTTATAGCAAAAAAAGTTTCATAGTGTGAGAATGGAATTCCACAATAAAAGAAGAGATTTTTGGAAAAACAATGTAAAAATAAGAAAACACTAAATGCAGAAGACCATTTCGCATCAAATACAAATAGTGATGTTCACCTCAATGTGAAATTGGTGGCTCTTTCAGAAAAAGTTAAATATATAATTATGTTGTGAAAAGTCCTCTTTAATATACTTTTTGAAAAAAAAAAAGATAAATTTTATAAATTCATTATATATTTCCAAAAATTAGAAAAAGCTAAATCTAACCGATGAAATCTAATCGTAGATGAGCCTAATTATGGGCTGATATTACATAAAAATAATTAAAAAAAAAAAAAAAAAAAAAAAAAATCAAATTTGGCCATTAACAACACTACAACAAAGTTGATATAACCAAAAGAAAAAAACTCATAGCAAAGAATTGAAATCTCATAGCTAAACATAAATAGTTATACAATTTGCTACAAAATTGACAGTCACATTCCGTATTAATTTTCCTTATAACAATTTTTTTTGCTACACAATCAACAAATAACAAATATGTTCCGTAGTAAATTTCGTAGGCATATTTCATAACAAATTACCTAGCTTTATTCTCCTAACAAATTCCATAGCAACACATCACTAGAAGATTTTGTTAGCGTTTTACATATTTATATAGTAAATTACATAGGCATATTTTCCGAGCAAACTCTATAGGAATAGTTACATAGGAAATTCCATAGGTATACTTCCTAGCAAATTTCATGGATATTTTCGTAGCAAATTTTATAGACATATTTTCGTAGCAAATTATGTACCCATATTTTTGTAGCAAATTCCATAGATATTTTTCAGTAGCAAATTTTGTAGGCATATTTTTATGACAATTTTTCATAGAAAATTCTGTAGCTAAATTTTCTTAGCAAATTTCATAGTAGTATTTAATAGAATATATATATATATATATATATATATATATATATATATATATATATATATATATATATATATATATATATATATATATATATATATATATATATATATATATATATATATATATATCAATTACATCATACCAATAAATGAAAACACAATTAAGAAAAATCAAAACAAAAGTTATAATAGAAAGGAAAATAAAGATTCTTTGATACGTCAAAAAATTAACCTAATTCAAAACATGGTTACCTGAAACTCATCCCATTAGATTAACTTCGTCTCGTTGCTTAAACTTGCTCGATCATACCTGTTTGGATCTACTCGTTTGATAAATGATGAATGAATATTGGTAGAACAATGGTATGATGATAACAACTTACAAATATAAAGTTTAGCGACATAGTTATATGATTAATCTCAATGTAGATAAATATATAAAGAATTTACATTACTTATTTTCCCAAACTCTAATACGCTGCTTGCAGTGCAAACTCATCAAGTCTAAGTCCATTTGTGATTTTCTCATCTTGTTTTTCAAACCTTAAATAGCTTATACTTATGTTACTGAATCAGAGCTAAATCTTAACCTATACCCTCAAAACTGTAGCCCATTAAGGCCCATTTGCGATTTCATGTCATTTTTTTTTTTGTTTTTGTAAAATAATTAATGGTTTAACTATATTTGTCGAAACTTCTAGTTTTTAAGATTTTCTCTTGTAATCCACTTTACATTTATTTGACAGGATACATGAATGTTTACCGTTGTATGAGATGCTAAATTTGTTTCAGAAAGGACAAAGCCACATGGCAGTTGTTGTAAGAAGTAAAACTGCTCTCAATACACTTAACAATTCCTCAGGCCAACTGTTAACTCAGATTAAAGTAGAAAAAAAAGGTCTCTTAATTTTATTTTAATTGAAAGCCTATATATAACACATGAAATTATTAATTTATTATATAATACTAACTAATAATAATTTCTGAATCTGTATCACAGGTCAAAATACAAAACTGAGCATTTACAGATCTTCGAGTGATCCTACATCTCAAAATCTTGCACCAGATCAAAATATTTCAAGTGTTCTAGACTCATTCTCGGATCCAGAAGAAGAAATTATTGGTCTTATAACAATGGAAGATGTTCTTGAAGAACTTTTACAGGTTCACTATTACACTACCATCAAAATAATTACTTTTATCACATTTGTTTAAATATTTAATGAATTTCATGTGTCATGTATCATTTTAAATGTGAAGGAACCTATTCTCGATGAAAGGAACGAATATGTTGATGTAGACAACATGTAAGTATTTTGATTTGTAGTTTATTATAAGAGATCTATTATTATAAATAACTTTAAAAACATTGCATTAACACACTAGAATAATCCTAATAGTAGAAAAACATAAGTCTCCAAAGAGAAAGATTCACCATATGGTTAATTATTGCAATTTCATAGACAAATTTCTCAAACCTATTACACCTATAATTTCAAAAGATTTAATTCAAACTTTTCATTACACTCTAAAACAAGAGAATAAAAGAAAAAATTTAAATACTTAAAATGTACTTAATTGGATCACTTTATACAAAACCTTTTCTTGGCTCTTTTTATAAACATGAAGCCTATTCCACCTTTTGATAATCTACCAAATGTGGGACAAATTATTAAAAAAACAATTTTGTAATAACAACATTGCATAATAATTAATGCTATTGTTTGTTCTCATTATTTTCTTTTATATTCAGAATGAAAATAAACATACTTCCATCCACGTTAAGATCAGGGGCATCATCAGCATCTAATTATGATTGGAAAACTTTGGTCTCATCTCCACTTATGTCATCACCAATTTCTTCACATCATCAAACTTCTGCAATAACCTCACCTATTTCGCCATTTATCCAGTCACCCTGCAAAAAGCCAGCATCATATACTTCACCTACAAAGTCTACACCAAATTCTCCATTGGGCCAAGCCAGCAGCTCGCCATCTTCATATAAGGTGAGTCTAAGTTTCTGTATTATAACTCTTTTATGTAGTAATTACTATGATAATTATGATATGATCTTATGGACATTACAAATGTCATGCAGGTCTCAAGGAAATCATATGAGAAGCTCGAAAAACCTAGTAATAAGTAGTTCTTCAATTTCTTATACTCTATCACCTTATAAATAAGTGCATAAGCTTCGAGAAGCTTTGTTTTTTCTTCTTTCGTTAACCTTACGTGGATGTTAATAACATGGTCGGAACACGACTATTGAAACTAGGGGGTGTTCTAATATCAGAATAATTTAACTAATGTCAAAATCACGAGTTAACATTATCTATTATCACACTTTAAAATAATGTCTAATGTTATAGGGGCGGAACCAAAAAATTTGATTGGGGGTTTGGGTTAGGAGAAACAATGGTTTGATTAATTACGGTATAAATTAGGTTTGATTTTAACAATCTTATATATTTATATTATATGTTATAGATTGGGAATGATACACTTTAAGTGATATGCATCCGTTGGTAAATCAAAAATTACAATTCACTCGTGTCCAAATTTATGGAGGTGATTGATGTTTTATATTGTTCTTTACGAATCTTTATTTTTATTTTTAAATCTATTCACTAAATGTTTATTCGTAATCTTACATAAAAGTAACAAAAATTTAAACAAGTAACATACAAATGAACTAAACAAAACATTTATAAATAGACAAGCCATTAAACATGAACGGGACAAATTTTTATATATATAAAAAAACAAATACACAAGTAAAAAGAATTAACAATTAACACATAAATGACAAATCAATATCAATAAAATATATCAATTTAAAAGTCATAGAGAACCACATGATGGCTATCATCTAGGTGTGCAGAAAATTTATAATAAAAAACAAATATAAAAAATAATAGTTTATAAGAGGATAAATAAATGTCTTGGCATTAGTACTAGTTATTACCATCGATGAAGAGTGAGAGAGAAACTCACAGATGCTGCGAGAGAATAAGCTCCACAACTGATGTTGCCGGAGACCAATGACAACTATAGAAAATCGAGGCCGGCGAGAGAAAGAGTTAAGGAAAATATCCACAAACGCAAAGATCTTTAAATGGCTAAGGGGAGGAGGAGATTCCAAGAGCCTCAATCTGAGACGATGAGACCGGAGACGTGAACCATAGTGGCAATGATCAAACACGATTTGTGGTAGTTTTCTCTAGGCTATTTTTTAATAGATCTATCAAGATGTGGTGTATTATGATTGAATGCCTTCAAATATTTCGTGGACTTTTTAGAATTTTTGGATAGGATTTCGAATGGGGATAATGACTTAGGAGGGTAATAAGGTTTCCAGCTTGTTTGTGTTAGGTCACTAAGGTATTTTTTGTGCGTATTAGACCAATATGGTTGTTATTACCGTTTAGAAATAGTCCTTTTACCGGTTTTAACGGGTAAAAAGGACTATTTCTAAACGGTAATAACAACCATATTTGTCTAATACGCACTAAAAAAACCTTAGTGACCTAATACAAACAAACTGGAAACCTTATTACCCTCCTAAGTCATTAACCCTAATTATTTAGAAAACATGCTTACTAATCAATGTGACATGATTTGTTTGACTGAAAATAGTTGCTTCCATTTAAACTTATCTCACAACTCTTCCAGAACTTCTAAGTCCAAAAACTCATATGATTAATGATCTTCATAAATTAAATATGTAACATTTATTAATAACTTCTTTTTTGTCATTTAAATGTTTACATGAACACATCTATATGTACAAAAACAAAATCTCACTTTGATACCTCCCATCAATGTCTACATTTGATAACGAATGGAAATGTAAAACCAACAGGGACTAGTAGAGGATGTCTATTATCAATTATTTTATAAAAAGAAAAACCACAACCTGAACTAAGAAACTGAAGTTGCAAAATGAATAAAAAAATCAGCACATAAACAAATACATACATACTATATACAACACATAAACGGAAGTTTATAAAGCATAAACTTAATGACAGGAAAAGTAAAAAACTTAAAGGAGACTTTATAGAAAAAAAGATCACCCTTACTTGCCACAAATGGTTGAAGACATCAACAAGAAGATTAATCTGACCATAGAATCTACATGTTGTCTGATCATGACTTCAGTAGATGAACTACTGAAACGTAAGAATTGCAATTGAACTCTATTATCATTTGAAAAGGGAATTAAGGTTCCAGAGAAGACGACGAAGGGTCAAAAATTTTTTTGGACCATTTCTCGATTTGTGTGTGTCATCCTTGCACAGGGGCCATGCTAATCTTCTCTGTATTGTTCCAATTTTATCGGATGTCCCCAAAGGGACGACTATAGATGAAGAGCTTCGCCATATAGAGGGGTAGCAGGTTATATGGAACGACGCGAGTTCTAAACGAAGTAGTTTACTATTGATGGTCATATATTCTCAATGTCTTTAAAATTAGGGTTAACGACTTAGGAGGGTAATAAGGTTTCCAGTTTGTCCGTATTAAGTCATTAAGGTTTCTTTGTGCGTATTAGACCAATATGGTTGTTATTACCGTTTAGATTAGTCCTTTTTACCCGTTAAAACCGGTAAAAGGACTATTTCTAAACGGTAATAACAACCATATTGGTCTAATACGCACAAAAAAAAACCTTAGTGATCTAATACGGACAAACTAAAAACCTTATTACCCTCCTAAATTCTTATCCCTATTGTGATATATTTAAGAGTTTATAATAGATTTTATTTGATTTTTTCTAATAGATTCTTCAAATAAAATGCATCACTTCTTATTTAGTTCCTATTTTTCCTATATAGTTCCTATTTTTCTGGGTGTTATGCTTAAAACTTATCGTCGTCCCCTTTCTTTTTCATATGCAAATGGGTATAAAATGTTTTATATGGTATGAGCTATAATGGACTGTACACAAGTTGGCACGGCTGAACAACATCAAGCCCCTGTACTGTCTCCACCACTGAATGTTATTATATAATTCATAATTTTATAAAATTGACCACTAATGTCATATTATTAGAATGGGGAAAATATAATATTTAATAATGGTTTTTAGTGTGTATAAAGAGTTTGGTAGGAGTTTTTACTATTTATTTGTTTGGTATTTCTATCTAAAAATGATTAAAATCGTATCATATTATAACTCTTCCAAAATATAGTAAAGATTCAAAATAAGCTTTTCTGTATATAGAGATTTTGCGTTTGACATCATATTTTAACATTTACATTTTACCATTAATTTTTTCTGGTATAATAGTTTTCATCATTCATATTTTTCAATTAAATTGTTGATATTTTATAAGTTGAGATTTTGGTCCTTAATATTATTTAAAGTTACGTTTTTGGTCCATTACATAATTTTATTTTATAATTTTCGTTCTTAATAATTTCTTTAAGATACACTTTCAAGTCTTATTTTCGTCTGATTCCTCCATACATAATTATTTGGATTCAAAATTTATTTTGACACCTTTATGGTCACTTAATATGGTATACTCATCACTATGGTATATGCTGACTGTTGATATTTGTAGATCACATTTTATATTCAAATGACAAAAGAATTAAATGTGTAACGTCCCAAAAATATAGTACAAAAATTTTATTTTTAATTTAAGTAAAAGAGTATTCCAATCATCAACCATACATCTCAGATAAAACAAACACATCAAATATCATAAAATCAGAGTGAAATGTCAAGTGTGGAATCCATGTGGTGTGTGCAATGTAGTCACCCCGAGGTTTTTCCTTTGAAACCGGAAGTACCTGAAACATAAACTAAAAACCGTAAGCACAAAACTTAGTGATTTTCTCAAACTACCCCATACCATACATAATAAATCACATACTGGGCCCCCGCCCTACATTAGGCCTCACCCGACATCACTCCCCGCCCGACATCGAGCCCCGCTCTGTTTATAGATATGTTATTCTCAGGCCCCGCCTATCACTGGGCCTTGCCGACTGTACACATACAACATATATCACATAATCATGCTAACACATATAATGATCATAAACACTAGCATATGTTCTAGTCCTCAGGCCTCGCCCGACATTGAGCCCCACTCAGTATACATAATAGCACATAACACATGCATGGGTCACGTAGACTCCTAACATCCTAGCATAATCAATAAGGGTCGGAATTGGTGTCTTGACCCGCTAAACCCAGTGAGGAAACTCAATTCGAAAGTTGAATCTCACTAAAAGAAATTCCTAGCTGCTGCCCTGACGACTCCCCGAGCTATCAGTACAAAATAACACCCAGTTAACACTTGGGTTCCAATATATAGTCAACAATCCATAATTAGCGTATAATGACTATTTTACCACTAGCCTGGCTTGAATAAAAAATGAGGTCCAAATCCATAAACCAAAAGGCCCAAAACCAATTAATCCACTAAGGCCCACTTATCGTCTAATTTTCTAAATTGGGCCCAACCCCCATATGTGCCTTACCCTAAAGCCCAATAATATTCCTTATCCCAAAAGCTTGATTTTAGATGGCCCAAAAGGCCCAAATTAACAAGGTCCAAGGAAGTGGCCCAACCAAGGCCCAAAAGATGTGAAGCCCAAACTGACTGAGTATGCATGGCGTACTTAGCTATACACTAAGTGTACTTGCTGCATGGCTTGTATGTTGCGCGTACTGGCTTGTATGTCCAACGTACTCCTTCATTAAGACATTTCTTCCATTAAGCTCTTAATGCTTAAATCTAATGGTCCAAAACATAGATCTGAATCCCAAAGAGTATCTAGAACCATAAAGTCACTGACTTGGTGACTTTGCATGCCCCAAAAGATCCCGACTTTGATTAAACTTGTGAGAGTGTTGAAATATGAACCCCATCTTGTTTCTCCCGCTCGAACAAGTGTAGTCTCTTGATTTAACCCTCTTCCGATTTCAAGTTCACCACTACACAAGCCTTTTTGCACCCTTTCTCTTGCTTGTTCTAGTAGTAAGTCTTTTCTTTTACACGAGGCACAAACAACATTAACTACCAACATAATTTGCTAAAAAAAGTCACTAACACCATCATGTTTCTTTGCTACAACCACAATTACTAATTCAAAATGGTGTGCAAAGCAATGTACATAAAAAGCTATATCATTCTCTTGTAATATCAAAGCTTTCAAACCATTGAATTCTCCTCATATATTTCTTGCCCCATCGTAACCTTGTCCTCTTATCTATTAAAATTTAAAACAATTAATATATATTAAATTTGAATTGAAATAACAAAAAAGTAAAGAATAAATTACCTGACTAAAACTCAACTTATTACTCGTAAGTACTTCATTTATGGGATTTTTGAGTGTCAAAGAGGATGTATCCTTTACGTGCACTAGTCCTATGAATCTTTCTTTCACAAAGCCAAGACTATAGACATAACGCAAAACAATATCCATTTGTTCCTTTTTTGAAACATCACTAGATTCATCAACTAGTCAACCAAAGATATCTTGACCAATCTCTTCACGAATACTCAAAAGTACTTGTTGTGCAAAACATTGCACAAGTTCTTTTTGAATATTAGGGGAAATTAATTGATTGTTTTTAGGAGCATTTTCTAACTTATTGTTGAAAATATCTTCACTAGTCTCTCGAATGGCTTTTAACACTTCGATGTAAAGCCCTCTATTTTCCGAGTTAACCGACTCGTCATGACCACGAAACGGTAAACCGGTTTTCAATAAAAGTTTAACAACAATAATAGAAACACGTAATCGAGCTTTATATTTATGTTCCTCCGCTTCGGTTTGCCTCTTTAAGACTACATTACTAGCTTGTTTTTCCCTCATCAAAAACTCAAACTTTTCTTTTTCTTTGTTGTGAAAACTATCAACACCACCCATATGAGTCAGAAATGCATCTTTTTTTTTATTCCAAGTATCAAAACCTTGGGAAACAAATTCATATCTCCCTCCTTTTTGTCCCATGAGGTCTCCATACACATAACAATATAAACAATATGCACTATTCTTTTTCACACTATATTCCAACCAACAAAGTCATCAAACCATGAAGGAACGAATCTTCTAAATCTATCACCTATTTTTTATGGGAAACTTATGTGCCCTTACTTGACAAGGTCCTTGAAGAAAATACACTCTTCTTACTTCATCTCTTATATTTGATTTGTAACTTGTAATCTTTGGCCTATCTGACGGGTCCTTTGGAAGATCTTTCAAGTCAACATTATCATTAGGTTGGTTAGAGCATGGTGTTTGTGGAGTTGCATTAGAAATGAAAGGGATTGATTGATTGGTGATTGGTGTTTGTGGAGTTGCATTAGAATTAGGAACGGAAGGGATTGATTGCTTGGTGATTGGTATTTGAGAACATTCTTCACCACATTCTTCACCACTTTCATTAGGATTAGGTCTTTGTGTTTTGGTAAAAAAACCACTTAGTTTAACCTATAAAAACATAACAATTACACCTAATCAAACAATGACTTCAATAAAACAAGTTGTTTTCACCTAATCAAACAATAAATTCAATAAAACATAACAATTTCACCTAATCAAACAATAAATTCAATAAAAAAACATAGCAATATAACCTAGCAAACAATATAACTTCAATAAAACAAATCAATTTCACCCAAGCCAATCAATAACTTCAAAAAAAACATATCAATTTCTAATACCTAAATGAATTGGTAAAACTTACTTGCTTCATTCCAGGTCTTTGAAGTCGATTTTGTTAACCAAGAAAGTAGAAATCGAAGAAAATATTGAAGTCGATTTTGTTACTTGCTTCACCCGACTGGCCGATTGTTGAATGTTGATACTTGATCGATCGAACAATGAAGCCAAGCCAGGAATGATGAGTTGGTGAAGGATTGTGAGAACAGAACAGGAGGTCATCGACTGATTCTGTAGTTAACTCGTTATTTATTATTTTTTTCCTTTCTTGTACTGATAATACATTTACTCAAGTAGGATCGGGCTATTTTTTTTTACAAGCAATCAGCCCAATTGCTAATTTATCCAAATAATTTTTATTTTGGGCTTTAGCCAATTGGGCTATTAGATAATAACTGATTAAAACATTGGGCTCATTATATTTTTTTTTCATTTGGTAATTCTTGATAGAGTGAAATTTTTTTAACGTAGTTGCACAAATTTTTTTAGTAGCTGCACGATTTGTTTTACGTAGTGGCACAATAAGAATTTTTTTTTTTAAAAAAGGAAAAATTTTATACTACGTGCGCGGAAGCTAGGTGTTTTTGGTGCCACACTGGGCACCTAACTAGGACCACCCCTGACTTTATGACTCTAGGACCAATAGAACACCAAGAGTAGCAACTTTAAGCTCCAGAAATGATAATAAACCACAAGATCTCATCTATGGGACCAAAAAGGGTCTAAAACTAAAAAAAAGGAGATCTAAGCAATAACACAACAAGTTTAGAGATTTATACCTCAAATGAGTGCCAAAGGATGTTGATAACCCGGATCTACAAGCTCCCACTCTTCCAATGAAGCTTTAAAATTATCTCCTTCCTTCAAAACACCAAAAACACACCCAAAAGACCTTCTAAGCTCAAGAGCACTCAACAATGGAGTCAGGGTTTCGAGTATAGGGCTAGGAGGACAAGGAAGCTGAATAAATGAGGGTTTCATTCCCATAAGGATGATTATATAGTGGCCAACCCTAGAAATTAGGGTTTTCAAAAGTCATTACGTACAACCCGTATACACTTCTATATACCCAACGTGCACCTTCATATCCCCTATCAAGTCTTTGCATGAGTACGCTAAGCTTAATACTGTTGGATAAGGTGTCTAAGTCCATAACTATTTCTGGTATGTACTTGACCCGACCCGGCATGGTCCATTTGGGTTGCATGGCATCATGCAATTGGATAGACTAAATGAGAGAAATAACACTTGGAGATTATTAATATATTATAAGTTCTAATATATTAATAATATTATTTGATTAGTTTGATCAAGAATTAATTTAGAATTAATTATGTGATCAAAAGATAACTAATTAAATATATGGGTTGATTATGTAAATCATCCATATCTTGTATAGTGGGCTAAAAGGCTCCATGGACTATCAAGTTGGGTTCCACCCATAGGATGCTCCATGGGAGTTACAAACCCATGGGTCATGGAAATGAAGAGTCATGACACATTAGGGTTTAACCCTAGATGTGTCAACACTATATAAGTAACATGTTCTCCACCTAAAATCGGCTACACTAAGAAACAAGAGGGCTTGGCCGATTTTTGAGAAGTGTGTGTTCTCTCATAAGTTCTTCCAAGAGCATTTGGTGTTGTGTGAAGCATTTGAGGCATCACACTTGGGGTGCTAGGCTCACAAGGTTTCAAGGAACACAAACAACAACAAGGTAAGTTATTCTATCTATACTTTATGTTAAAATTGTTCCCCATGTATGCTAGATAGGAATATAACCTTGGAATTCAACTTTGCATGATAATTAGACAAACATAGATCCAAGGTTATTAGGGTTGCATGTACACTTAGGAAGTGTTAGAATGCTCAAAACCCATCAGTGGTATCAGAGCCTAGGCTTGTTTGCTCTTATTTGTGCTTAAAAGTTGAAAAAAGAATCGAAAATCTTGCTGTCTGCGAATGGACTCGTCGAGTTCATGAGTATCTTCAACCAACTCGGCGAGTGAGTTCATGCACTCGGCGAGTAGGGTCGACTGATTGCAGAATTTCGATTTAGTTGCTTGAAATGAATTAGAAACATTACCCTAAACTGTTTTGGTAATTGAAAACTTGTTTTTGGTGGTGTAATGTCTTTGCTAATTCATTTACAACAACTAGTTATCAAAATTACAAAGTTTTAAATGTAATTTTTTGATTGTGTTCATATTCATGTTCTTGTTCTTATGATGTTTTAGATGATCATAGGAATTATTTGTAACCTATGTGGTAGATTAATTCTTGATCATAATGTGTTTTAATGGAGTCCATAACTTATCCTTAAGTTATGGAAAACCAAGAGTCACACTTGAATTAAAACCATTAAAAACACAAGAGTTAGAAAAATGAAGAGTCTTCATTTTATTACTCTATTAAACTTATAAGTTACAAGAAATGAAAAGTTTTGAAAGTTACAAAACTTGCCCTCAAGTATTGGAACAAGTAAAGTTAAGTTAAAACTTTAAGTTCCAACCCCTAGAATTTTAAAAGTTAAAATTCAACCCTTATACTTATATTATGATGATTTAATAATTATATATATATATATATATATATATATATATATATATATATATATATATATATATGTATGTATAAGAATAAAGTCGTCTTACCGCTAGTACGCCTCATTCACGAAGCCGGTCTATAAGGTGGGTATAGGTTGTTGCCTATAAAATGGTGACTTAATGGGTGTCTACTCTCACCCACCGCTTGCTTGACTGGTGGAGGGTCGTTAGCCGAACGGGTAAGACAAGGACTTATAAATTCTCATTCAAAGTATGATGAATATAATAAAGTAACTAAATGTTTTATTAAATTCCCAATCTTAGTTACTTTAGGAAAATGTGAATAAGGTGCTAATCCATGAAATTACACTTTACACTTTGTCTAAGTCGTTGGTGGAGCGTGTGTGGTTAACCGGCACACTAACTTGGACTTAACAAGGTAGGTAAAGGGTGACTTAAGGTTTATTATAGTATCGGTGGAGCGTGTGTGGTTTACCGGCACATCGATTGAGTGATAAACTTTAAGGGTACCAAGTGATTTGCATGGTTACTTCACACCTCGTTTTGTGATCCTCGGTATCCCAGTCACAAAACTTGGAGGGCACTCTCAAGATTGAAACATGCCTTTGAAAAGTTCATTGGATCTCAAAGAATCTAGGAATTTCTAAAACCAATAAAAACTAAATATCTAATATTTCGGTTTTCGTGGTGGAAATTGGTGAATCGTCATTCACCTACCTTTCAAATATGGTATAGCTTAGATTACGGCATACCTCTTCTAAGTTATATTATATTGTGATTGGATCCTAGCCTTAATATTACATTTGGGTGTTTTATTAAGGACTCTCTTAATCTAACTAAACTTGTTCTTCTCTTTCAGATGTCTTCAAATAATGCTTCTGGCTCGAATCCTAATGGCTCCTTTACTCTTATGAGTTTGTGTGGGAAAGTCACCTTTGATGGATCCAACTTCAATAAATGGATCAGAAACATCAGGATGATTACCCGCTACGAGGACAAAGAATATGTCCTTGACAAGGAGCTTAAGGAAATTGATGAGTCCACTGCAACTCCCCAGGAGATCGCTGACTTTCATACTCATGAAAGAGATGCAACCAAGGTGGCTTGCATCATGTTGGCCACAATGACAGCAGAACTCCAAAAGTCTATGAGGATTTCTACCCTTATGAAATGCACCAAGATTTGATGGAAAGATACCATCAAAGTGCACGACAAGAGAGGTACGAAGTCATCTGCTCCATGATAACAACCATGATGAAGGACGGAGATTCCGTCACGAGCCACATGCAGAAAATGCAAAGGTATGTGGATCGTTTGCTGAAGCTTAATGTGAACTTCCCTGAGGAGCTTGCAATAGATATCATTTTGCACTCCTTACCATCGTGCTATGATCAATTCCGCATGACATATCACATGAACAAGGAAGAGGTCACCCTCAGCAAACTTCAGGGACTTCTCAAGACCGCAGAAACAGGTCTTAAGGGGAAGTCGGTTGCTATCACTCCTACTCCAGACTCAACTCCGGTCTTGGCAATCGGGCAAAGTCGAGGGAGGAAGAGAAAGAGATCTTCGAAGGGTACCAAGGCTCGGACCCTTGATGGCTCTTCTTCAAGTGGAACCAAGAAAGGTTTCATTACTCCTTCTTCTGACCCAAAAGAGGCTGAATGCTTCTATTGCCATGAAAAAGCTCATTGGAAGCGGAACTGCCCAAAGTACCAGCAGGATGTGAAGGATGGGAAAGTCAAACCCAACCATGCAGGTATTTACACTATCATTTCTAATAACTCACCCCATTCGAAATCTTGGGTCCTTGATACCGGTTGCGTATTCATATTTGTTGTGACTTGCAGGGACTAGGAAGAAGTGAGAATGTGGAGCAAGGAAGAATAAACTTAATCATGGGGAATAGGAAAGTTACACCTGTCACCAAGATTGGAGTTTATACTTTATCGCTAAGTAGTGGGTTAAATTTAGATTTGAATAAATGTTGTTATTCGCCAGAAATGGCAAGAAATATTATTTCCTTTCATGCATTGTACAAACAAGGTTTCACCTTTTCGTTTGATAATGAAGTTGGTTCGATTAATGCTTTCTTTAATAATGTTCTTTATTTTAAAGCATTACCTTGTGATGGTGTGTATGAAGCTGTATATCTATTGTAGATAACTTAGGAAATAATGTTTGTGTATTGATTCTACTAATAATAATAACTTGGATAAAGCATCATTATGGCATTGTCGTCTTGGACATATAAGCAAGAAACGCATAGGCCAACTCCAAAAGGATGGAGTCTTGGAGTCGTTTGACCTAAAGTCAAATGATAGTTGCGAATCATGCTTACTTGGAAAAATGACAAAGTCACCCTTCACAGGCTCGTGTGAAAGGGGTGAAGGTTTGTTGGACCTTATACACACGGATGTGTGTGGGCCATTCAAACATGCCACAAGGGATGCTAATCGTTATTATTTGACTTTTACTGATGATTACAGTAGATATGGATATGTCTACTTAATCAAGCATAAGTCAGAGACTTTCGAGAAGTTTAAGGAATTTAAACAGGAAGTCGAGAATCAATTGGGCAGGAACATTAAGATGCTTCGATCCGATCGGGTGGTGAGTATCTTAGTTCAGAGTTCCTCGACTATCTAAGGGAA